CTCCGCTCGTATCCACCTGCCCCCACTTTCCAACGTTCTGTCCCAGTCTTCTCTACTCTTTCCCTTTATCTTGACTTTTTTTTTCGTTCGTACTCAATTGTGCTATTCACCAATTCTTCGCATTCCGCCCACTCCTCCCCAGGCCACCCCATCCCACCCCAACTATCTCCACCCTTTCCCGCTCGCGTCCCGCATTTCTCCCAAATTATTACAAGTCCCTCCTCCAGATTCCTCCGTGCGCCCCTTCTCCTCCGCACTCCTCCCGATTCCTCTTCTCCACTCCTTGCCGCTCCTCCTCCTGAGACCCTACTCTTGCCCACTCCATCCCAATCCACTCCACATCCCCGCGCTCCTCTCGACGCGGTTGCAGTTCTCACTATCCTTCCGCCCCGCTCTCCCAACATCCCGCTTTTGTTCAAGGTTCCACGGAAATTGTTTCTGACACCAGTTCGCAGCTGTACGTCCCCCCGTGGGGGTATCCACGATATGTTCTTTCATGGGAATGGTACGTGGCGCTGTTAAGGGCGCGACCCATGCCGAAACTTATTGCTCACCTGTGTTGGAGTGGCTGGCGCAAGCCGTGACGCAAGCTGAGCCGCCACTCACAACGCAAATCATCGTCCTCCCTCCTTCTTGCCCCTCCCCTCTCTTCCTCCGATCCCTTCGTCCTCATTCTCTCCTGTTATCTGCTGCCCTTCGTTTCCAAGGGCTTTACCAACCACGCGTGGCAGGGAATGAATATACCCCCCAAAAGGGGTACGATCGAAGACGAAGAGGGCGGATATCCAGGGTTTGGGGTATGCATATTGAATGACACGCGAGCAGATAAGGGCGAACAGTCTTAAACTGATTGTTGTTGTTGTTGTTGCTGCTGTTGCTGTTGTTGTTGTTGTTGTTGTTGTTGTTGCTGTGCTTGTTGTTGTTGTTGTTGTTGTGGTTTGTTGGTTTGTTGTGTGTGTGTGCCTCTCTCTCTCTGTTTTTTTTTTTCTCTCTCTCTCTCTCTCTCTCTGTCTCTCCCTCTCTCTCGCCCTCTCTCTCTCTATCTCTCTCTCTCTCTCTTTCCCTCCCACTCCCCTCCCCTCCCCTCCACTCCCTTCCCTCCCCACCCTCCCCACCCCTCCCCTCCCTCCCATGCCTCCCCTCCCCTCCCGCCCCCTCCCTCTCTCCTTCCCTCCCTCCTCCTGTCCTTCTGTCTCTTCATATTTTGGCGGCGCGCAGAAATGGGTAGAGGGAGGGGGAAGACTGTTTAGAAGGCGATTTCCTCTTAGAAGGTGCCGGCGGCCCCTCTAAGAAGCCAGGGGCGCGCCGCTTCATAGAAGCAGCCCCGCAGTTTCTCAGAAGCACGGAACTGTTTCCTATAAGCAGCGCCGATCTCTTAGGAACGGGCCACCTGCACTTTAGAAGCACGCCAGGAACAGCTTCCTAAGAAGCCACCACCAGCTTCTTAGAAGGGGCGACCGCGCCTTCTAAGAAGAGGGGATGCTTCTAAGAAGCCCCCTTCCCCCCCGACCACACTCCTTCTGCGCGTGGCTGATTGTTTCTCCCTCCCTCCCCCGCCGCTCTCGCATCCCCTCGTCGCCCCCACCCAGCACGACGGGCCTGGGGTATGCTGGCCGCCACGTTCCCGAGGGACGTGCTCTCCAGCGTCCTCGGGCATTGCGGCCCTTCCAGGCACTACGTTGGCTGACAAATGGGGAGCTTGGGGGGGCAAGGGTTAGGTCGGGCATGTCCCTCTACAGGCGGATCTTGGGCGAAAAATTGAAAACACCTAGAATATCTCAGCAACAATCAAAAAAACTGGACACATCGTCCACTGACTATGTGTGGACTATTTCTGAATACTCCTCCAGTAGAGGGACGTGCCCGACTGAAGGCAAGGGGCAGAAGTCCAGCGCTGCCCCGACGTGGGGGGCCCGGAGCGCGGGGTCGTCCAGGGCCCTCTGGGCGCGCGGGCCTCGCGCGGCCCGAGGGGGACGAGCGCTTCGACGCCAGCGCTGCTGTGAAGGGAGCTCCAGACTGGGCGCGCGAGGCTCTTCGCGAGACGTCTCGCGCTCTGGCCAGAGCGCTCCGCGGCAGCATTGCGCCACATGCGACGGCGTGCACGCAACGAGATGGCGATGGCCTCGCCGAAAACAAACATACCAACTACTCGCCCGCCCTTGACCCGGCGTGAAATCGTGCCGATGCACTCGGCCGCAACGACTCCCAGCGGCTCCGTGCCTTACTAGAGCATGAGCACGTGGGCATGTATCAAGAATTCCAATCCCCGCGAATCTGGAGCCGAAACTCGGGGACGTCTTGGGAGGACGTCAAACTCTTGCAAGGCATGGGAGGGAAGGCGCGGATGAGCGGGGAGGACGTCAAACTCTTGCGGGGCAAGGGGGGCAAGCGCGGATGAGCAAAGAGCCGGAAACGCACTACGCAGCTGGGGAAAAGAAAGCGGATGGGGGGATTGCAGGAGAAGGTCGGAGGAGGAGGCTGATGATGAGGATGAGGAGGAGGAGAATAGAGGCGGAGAGAGGTGGGGGAGGAGGGAGGAGAAGGAGAGAGGCGGAGGAGAAGGAGAGAGGCGGAGGTGAAGGAGAGAGGAGAGGACAAGGAGAGAGGAGACAGGAGAGGAGAGGAGAGAGGAGAGAGGAGAGAGGAGAGAGGAGAGAGGAGAGAGAGAGGAGAGGAGGAGGAGGAGGAGGAGGAGGAGGAGGAGGAGGAGGAGGAGGAGAGGAGGAGGAGGAGGAGGAGGAGGAGGAGGAGGAGGAGGAGGAGGAGAAGGAGGAGGAGGAGGAGGAGGAGGGGGAGGACAATGAATTCGCGTTCGGATGTCGACGCGTTCCCCCCTGAGCCTGCGGTGGGGCACTTCTAGCTCCGCGTGTCGCACCGCCAGCTCTGCCCACCTCTCAACCAAGGGCGACACGCCAACCACTCCCTGATGGGCCAGGTTTCCACCACCATTACCATAGGTATGAGGAGGAGGGGGAGGAGGAGGAGGAGGAGGAGGAGGAGGAGGAGGAGGAGGAGTAGGAGTAGGAGTCAAGCTAGCCAGCTCGAGCGAGTCAAGCATGGCATGCCCAGTCCCACCCGCCCTCCCACAACATAAGAAGCAAAGCTGGCACAACTGGGGGCCGAAGTCACACCGGCCAGCCGGTTTGGTACAGCTGATGCGGCCGCGATGGCGGTTGCCGACGGGAGCTGGCGAGCGCGTGTTGAATGCCGCGCACGCATTGCCAGACGAGTCGAGAATGGCCCGGTACACCGCAGGAAGCCAGAGGTGGCCGGAGGAAGCCCGACGGTCTGACAGGACACCCCAAGGGGGCCCAGGAGGCCCCAAGCCCCAGGAGGCCCCACGAAACACCAGGAGGCCCCAGGAGGCCCCAGGAGGCCCCACGGGGCCCCAGGCGCCCATGAATTCATGGGAGTGCAACAAGGAGGCGTCCAGGAGGCCCCAACTTTTTACTGTTTTTTCTGATGGGAAGGTTTGGATGGGCGGGCGCGGGGTGTGCGCCGCGTCCCACCCCTGCCACGCATATTTGTATTGGCTTTTGCAGATCAGGATGGGAGGGATTGGATGGGCGGGCGCGGGGTATGCGCCGCGTCCCATTCCTGCCTGCATTTTGCGACGTGGTCGACAGGACGTCCAAGCTGAGAGGAAAAACGATGATTTTGTATTGTATTTTGGAGGTTAGGATGGGACCCCCCTGGAAAACGCGCGCGGCGCCGAGGCGAGAGCGACATGTCACCCTTTGGCGCGGGATGTGCGCCGCGTCCCACTCCTGCCATGCATTTTGCGACGTGGACGACAGGACGTCCATGCGACGGTGCCAATAGTGGCGACGACTCTAGAAGGATTTGAGCATGCCCTCGCGGCGACGCGCGCGCATGTCGCCCGCGTGGTGTTTTTTGCACAGGATTCGCGGCCTGGGTGCATGACAGAGCATCGCGAGTGCACCGCGCGGTGACGCGAAATCGCTGGATTTGACAGAATTCATAAGATTCCCATGGTTTTCCTATGATTTCAACAAGACAGCCCGGGCAGGAAATTTGTAGATTTTTTGTCCAAAAAACGTATGGTTTTGATGTTTTTATGCCGAAATGCTTGCAAACACAGAGAGGCCTCACGAGAAGGCCCCAGGAGACCCCAAGGGACCCCATGCGCCCATACGATTCATGGGATTGCATTAGGAGGCGTCCAGAAGGCCCCAACTTGTATTGTTTTTTTATAACGGGGAGGTTTGGATGGGCGGGCGCGGGGTGTGCGCCGCATCCCATTCCTGCCAAGCATTTTGCGACGTGGACGACAGGACGTCCATGCTGAGAGGAAAAACGTTGGTGCGCGGCGCCGAGGCGAGAGCGACATGTCACCCCTTCGCGCGGGGTGTGCACCGCGTCCCATTCCTGCCACGCATTTTGCGACGTGACGACAGCACGACCATGTTGACAAGAAAAACAAAAACTGTGTATTGTCTTTTGCAGATTAGAATGGGACGGATTGGATGGGCGGGCGCGGGGTGTGCGCCGCGTCCCATTCCTGCCATGCATTTTGCGACGTGGACGACAGGACGTCCATGCGACGGTGCCAATGACGGCGACGACTCTAAAAGGATTTGAGCATGCGCTCGCGGCGACGCGCGCGCATGTCGCCCGCGTGGTATTTTTTGCACAGGATTCGCGGCCTGGGTGCATGACAGAGCATCGCGAGTGCACCGCGCGATGACGTGAAATCGCTGGATTTGACAGAATTCTTAAGATTCCCATGGTTTTCCTATGATTTCAGCAAGAGAGCCCGGGCAGGAAATTTGTAGAATTTTTGTGAAAAAGCATTGGGTTTTTGATGTTTTTATGTTGAAATGCTTGCAAACACACGGTGTTCGGTAGGATTCTGACATGAACGCGCGCGTGTGCTCTTTGTGGTATTTTTGCAATGGATGATCGCCGTGGACGACAAGACGTCCATGTCGAGAGGAAAAAATAAGAAACATGTTGATTTTGTATTGTTTTTTACAGGTTAGGATGGGACCACCCGGATGGGGCCCCTATCTGCCGGCCTGAGGGGGGAGTAGGAGTATATTCTAATAAGGAATAAGGATAGGAGGAGGAGGAGGAGGAGGAGGAGGAGGAGGAGGAGGAGGAGGAAGACCTCCCCGTTCTCCCTTCTCCCTCGTCTTACCTACGGCAGTAGTGGCATTACATGGCGAGCCACTTCCCAGTCCGTCCCAGACCCCCCACGCGTCAACGTACCGAGCTTCTCCCAACGTTCCGTCCCGACCTTCCCCCCAGCGTCGCGCCCCGCGGAGCGCGGAGCGACGCGCGGTCCGACTGCAGGGCATGGTCGCCAAGGTTCCCGCCCCCCAGCGCGGGAGGACCATCGGGGATTCAGGGCGAAGACGCGGGGTTTGTCGATCCGACCCGACCCGGTGCCCCAGGCTCCGGAGGCGACCGGTACGCACATCGCCTCACCCTGCGGCCCACGACCGCTCGCGACCGCACCCGCCCCTCCCTGCACGGTTTCCCCCGGGTCCGTAGGCGACCCGAGGAGGGGGAGGAGGAGGAGGAGGAGGTGGAGGAGGGGGAGGGGGAGGAGGATATTGAGGGGAAGGAGGAGGAGGAGGAGGAGGAGGAGGAGGAGGAAGAGAGGAGGAGGAGGAGGAGGAAGAGGAGGAGGAGGAGGAGGAGGAGGAGGAGGAGGAGGAGGAGGACGGGTCGCCTAAGCCCTTCGGAGAAACCCTCCAACCCTCCCTCGAGGAGCTGGGCGCACGGGCGAGGCACACGGGCGAGGCCGACTGCTGCGGACCACCTGGGGTCTCTGGCATGGCGACGCGAGGGTCGCGGGGGCGGCGCGGGACTCGGCTCGGGTCCACTCGGCAGGAGGAAGAGGAGGAGGAGGAGGAGGAGGAGGAGGAGGAGGAGGAGGAGGAGGAGGAAGAGGAGGAGGAGGAATTGTCATGCTCTGCAGTGCCGTCTGGCCCCCTCCCCCTTCGGAGCGTGGGGCTCAGCTTGCCAGACTTGGCAGGCTGCGCACAGCAGAGCACACGACCCCTCCGATGGCTTCACTGCCATAGGAGTGCAGAGGACCTGGGTCGCGAAACGTAGGACACGAGGGGACCCTTGATTTCGCAGGGTCGATCTAGCATTAGTCTCGACGATATCCAACCCTGCCCGGCAGCCGCGGGGCACGGGGGAGAACCCAGACATCTAGTTGCTCATATTTTCGATGCGTGGGCCCCGGAAGTCTGGACCACTTCCCTAATGTCGACGTTTCGTCGGGAGCCGTTACAAGAAACCCAACCCTGAGACACCAGGACATCCATTGATTTTTTGGTGCGGGACCGTCACGCCTTCATAGCAAAACCATCGAAAACCGGGAAATCCAGGGCACGCTGGATGCAAGCAGGACGTTTCTTGGCATGGGCTTCCACTGCATCACGGAATCAGGGGTACCTTTTCAGAGGCCTTCTAGATGGGGTCCGAGTAGATGGGGTCGAGAGATCGCGCCGCATCGCCAACGCATCGCCGATGCACCGGCGATGCATCGGCGACTTCGGCGATGCATCGGCGACGTCGGCGTGGAGAAAATTGGGCCCCGCATCGCCGATGCCTCGCCGATGTATCGGCGATGCGGCGCGATCCTCCTACCCCATCTGCTCGGACCCCAACTGCGAGGCCTCGAGATGTGCCCCCTGCGACGTGACGTCCCACTCTGCTTGGGGGATTTTGGGCGAAACATTATCAACATACTCGAGACATACTCCCAAAATGCCCCCAGAGGAGTAAACAAATCGTCCCCAGACTATTTTTTTGACTGTTTCTGAACTTCCCCCTGTAGAGAGACAGGCCCGACCTGAGCCTCGAGCCAGTCCCCTCTACAGGGGGAGCTTCAAAAACAGTCAAAACATAGCCTGGGGACGATCTGTCTACTCCTTTGGGGGGCCTTTGGGGAGTATGTCTCGAATCTATTGTATAATGTCTCGCCCAAAATGCCCCTTTCGCCCACAATCCCCCTATGTCACGAGCGAACAACTCACACCCATACCCGTAGGAGGGTCGAAAGGAGGGGAACTGGCTATGGGTATGGGCGCGAGCTGTCGGACCCTGGGGGAAGCTCCCGCTCGAGCGGGGACCCCCGTCCGACAACACGCACCCATAGCCTCCTTCGTCCCCCCTGTATGGGTTCGTGTTGTTCGAGCGGCCAAGAGGGGGGTGTCCAAGAGGGGGGGGTGCAAATCATGACCGGCGGCATGTGCGCGGCCCAGCGGGGGGGCCAGGGACGTCAAGAAATAAGAAGGGTCGCCATGAAATCAGAGGAAAAATCATGGCCCGCGCCATGAATCCCCCCCCACCCTAGTCATCACCCCCCTCTCTTCCCCCTATGCCCGACGTACGCCTGCAGAGGACGGCGGCCGCGCGGGGCCCAGAGGACCCGGGAGGGCCGCAAGGGCCGCGAGAGCAGGCGGCGCGGGCGGCCCTCCTGCCCTGCAGGTCCGGCGCCGCGCCCTGCCCGGGCGCGTCCTGGGCGCCGGGGGCGGCGGGCGGGGGGGGGTCCTCCTCCTCCTCCTCCTCCCCCTCCTCCTCCTCCTCCTCCTCCTCCTCCTCCTCCTCCTTTTTCCTCCTCCTCTCCCTCCTCCTCCTCACGCCTCCTCCTCCTCCTCCTCCTCCTCCTCCTCCTCCTCCTCCTCCTCCTCCTCCTCCTCCTCCTCCTCCCAGCACGCGTGCAGCGCATCGGCCGGGGGCTTGCCGTCGCTCGGACGTCCATCTCCAGTGCATTTTTCGGTTTCGCGCGTGTTTTTTTTGGCTCGGTGGTCCAGGGTGGTCCTCGATGGTTCTCGCGGAGAAAACATGCACACGTCCGAGCGACGCCAGGGGGGGGGGGGGGGCGAGTTCCCCCGCGCTGCGAACAGAACCACGACGGGAGGCTTTTCCGAAAAACCTCCCGTCGTCAGCCCTTTCCGGCCTCCTGGGGCGAAGATGGCGAACAACTGTTTCGCCATCCTCGGCCTCCTGGGGCCCTTCCCGGGCCCCGGGGCCACCGAAAAACGGCTCGGGGCGAAGAGCCGGTCCCGGGGGAAAGGGTCCAGGCCTCGGGGGGGTCGACGTTGTGACAGAGTCACGACGTCGGGGGTCTGGGGGGGGGGGCGGCCCACGCAGACCCAGACGGGACCTCGCCATCCCTGGGGGGCTGCGAAGGGTGAGAGCGTCGCCACTGTCGAGGGCTGCTGGGGGGGCCAGCACAAGGAAGGGGGCCACGCAGACCCAAACGTTAGGGAGGGCATGTCTCCCTACAGGAGGATTCTGGGCGAGAGACCAGAAATACCCACCAAAAATGCCCAAACGTAGCCAAGAACAACTCAAACAATCGTCATTTTTTTTTCCCAACCATCCTGTGGTGTTGGGCTCTCGTTTTGAAGAGACGGTGCCCCGCGTTCCCCTCCTTCCTCCTCCTCCCCCTCCTCCCTCCTCCCCCTCCTTGCCTCTGCTCTCGGCACACCTCTCACGCGTTTCGTAGCCCCATAGGGAGCTCCACCGAAGGCCCCAGTGGGGGTGTTCGCATGCGGTTCCCCCACCCAGGGCAGCGTTTCGTAGCCCCATAGGGAGCTCCACCGAAGGCCCCAGTGGGGGTGTTCGCATGCGGTTCCCCCACCCAGGGCAGCGTTTCGTGGCCCCATAGGGAGCTCCACCGAAGGCCCCAGTGGGGGTGTTCGCATGCGGTTCCCCCACCCAGGGCAGCGTTTCGTAGCCCCATAGGGAGCTCCACCGAAGGCCCCAGTGGGGGTGTTCGCATGCGGTTCCCCCACCCAGGGCAGCGTTTCGTGGCCCCATAGGGGCCACCGAAGGCCCAGTGGGGGTGTTCGCATGCTCGGCAGCCCCCATAGGGAGGCTCCACCAAGGCCCCAGTGGGGGGTTCGCATGCGGTTCCCCCACCCAGGGCAGCGTTTCGTGGCCCCATAGGGAGCTCCACCGAAGGCCCCAGTGGGGGTGTTCGCATGCGGTTCCCCCACCCAGGGCAGCGTTTCGTAGCCCCATAGGGAGCTCCACCGAAGGCCCCAGTGGGGGTGTTCGCATGCGGTTCCCCCACCCAGGGCAGCGTTTCGTGGCCCCATAGGGAGCTCCACCGAAGGCCCCAGTGGGGGTGTTCGCATGCGGTTCCCCCACCCAGGGCAGCGTTTCGTAGCCCCATAGGGAGCTCCACCGAAGGCCCCAGTGGGGGTGTTCGCATGCGGTTCCCCCACCCAGGGCAGCGTTTCGTGGCCCCATAGGGAGCTCCACCGAAGGCCCCAGTGGGGGTGTTCGCATGCGGTTCCCCCCCCAGGGCAGCGTTTCGTAGCCCCATAGGGAGCTCCACCGAAGGCCCCAGTGGGGGTGTTCGCATGCGGTTCCCCCACCAGGGCAGCGCTTCGTGGCCCCATAGGGAGCTCCACCGAAGGCCCCAGTGGGGGTGTTCGCAGTTGGGGGTGTTCGCATGCGGTTCCCCCACCCAGGGCAGCGTTTCGTAGCCCCATAGGGAGCTCCACCGAAGGCCCCAGTGGGGGTGTTCGCATGCGGTTCCCCACCCCAGGGCAGCGTTTCGTGGCCCCATAGGGAGCTCCACCGAAGGCCCCAGTGGGGGTGTTCGCATGCGGTTCCCCCACCCAGGGCAGCGTTTCGTAGCCCCATAGGGAGCTCCACCGAAGGCCCCAGTGGGGGTGTTCGCATGCGGTTCCCCCACCCAGGGCAGCGTTTCGTGGCCCCATAGGGAGCTCCACCGAAGGCCCCAGTGGGGGTGTCCACATGCGGTTCCCCCACCCAGGGCAGCGTTTCGTGGCCCCATAGGGAGCTCCACCGAAGGCCCCAGTGGGGGTGTTCGCATGCGGTTCCCCCACCCAGGGCAGCGTTTCGTAGCCCCATAGGGAGCTCCACCGAAGGCCCCAGTGGGGGTGTTCGCATGCGTCTCCACTACCCAGAGGTAGCGCCGCCGAAAACTATATTCACACTTGCGGTATTCACAGTTGCATATGGTTGGGTTCTTCGCCAGGCTAATTCCCCAACCATCCTGTGGTGTTGGGTCCTCGTTTTGAAGAGACGGTGCCCCGCGTTCCCCTCCTTCCTCTCCTCCTCCCTCCTCCCCCTCCTTGCCTCTGCTCTCGGCACACCTCTCACGCGTTTCGTAGCCCCATAGGGAGCTCCACCGAAGGCCCCAGTGGGGGTGTTCGCATGCGGTTCCCCCACCCAGGGCAGCGTTTCGTGGCCCCATAGGGAGCTCCACCGAAGGCCCCAGTGGGGGTGTCGCATGCGGTTCCCCCACCCAGGGCAGCGTTTCGTCGCCCCATAGGGAGCTCCACCGAAGGCCCCAGTGGGGGTGTTCGCATGCGGTTCCCCCACCCAGGGCAGCGTTTCGTGGCCCCATAGGGAGCTCCACCGAAGGCCCCAGTGGCGGAGTTCGCATGCGAGGCAGCCCATGCGTGGGTGTTCGCAGGGGTTCCCCCACCCAGCAGGTTTCGTGGCCCCATTGGGAGCTCCACGAAGGCCCCAGTGGGGTGTTTGCATTTGCGGTTTCCACCACCCAGGGCAGCGTTTCGTAGCCCCATAGGGAGCTCCACCGAAGGCCCCAGTGGGGGTGTTCGCATGCGGTTCCCCCACCCAGGGCAGCGTTTCGTGGCCCCATAGGGAGCTCCACCGAAGGCCCCAGTGGGAGTGTTCGCATGCGGTTCCCCCACCCAGGGCAGCGTTTCGTAGCCCCATAGGGAGCTCCACCGAAGGCCCCAGTGGGGGTGTTCGCATGCGGATCCCCCACCCAGGGCAGCGTTTCGTTGCCCCATAGGGAGCTCCACCGAAGGCCCCAGTGGGGGTGTTCGCATGCGGTTCCCCCACCCAGGGCAGCGTTTCGTAGCCCCATAGGGAGCTCCACCGAAGGCCCCAGTGGGGGTGTTCGCATGCGGTTCCCCCACCCAGGGCAGCGTTTCGTGGGGGTGTTCGCATGCGGTTCCCCCACCCAGGGCAGCGTTTCGTAGCCCCATAGGGAGCTCCACCGAAGGCCCGCCCCGGTGGCGCAGTCCGCATGCGGTTCCCCCTATCCAAGGCAGCGCTTCGTGGCCAGCACTTTTTTCTCCACCGAAGGCTCAGCGGCGGTTAGTGTTTCGCATGCGGTTTCCCCCACCAGGGCAGCGTTTACGTTGCCCCATAGTGACTCCACCGAAGGCCCCTGTGGGGGTGTTCGGCGTGCGGTTTCCACCACCCAGGGCAGCGCTTCGTGGCCCCATAGGGAGACTCCCACCGAAGTCCCCCAGGTGGGGTGTTCGTGCGCTTCCCACAGGCGGCAGCGTTGTTGTGCCCCCCGGTCCCATAGGGAGCTCCACCGAAGGCCCCAGTGGGGGTGCTCGCATGCGGTTCCCCCACCCAGGGCAGCGTTTCGTGGCCCCATAGGGAGCTCCACCGAAGGCCCCAGTGGGGGTGTTCGCATGCGGTTCCCCCACCCAGGGCAGCGTTTCGTGGCCCCATAGGGAGCTCCACCGAAGGCCCCAGTGGGGGTGTTCGCTTGCGGTTCCCCCACCCAGGGCAGCGTTTCGTGGCCCCATAGGGAGCTCCACCGAAGGCCCCAGTGGGGGTGTTCGCATGCGGTTTCCCCACCCAGGGCAGCGTTTCGTAGCCCCATAGGGAGCTCCACCGAAGGCCCCAGTGGGGGTGTTCGCATGCGGTTCCCCCACCCAGGGCAGCGTTTCGTGGCCCCATAGGGAGCTCCACCGAAGGCCCCAGTGGGGGTGTTCGCATGCGGTTACCCCACCCAGGGCAGCGATTCGTAGCCCCATAGGGAGCTCCACCGAAGGCCCCAGTGGGGGTGTTCGCATGCGGTTCCCCCACCCAGGGCAGCGCTTCGTGGCCCCATAGGGAGCTCCACCGAAGGCCCCAGTGGGGGTGTTCGCATGCGTTTCCCCCACCCAGGGCAGCGTTTCGTAGCCCCATAGGGAGCTCCACCGAAGGCCCCAGTGGGGGTGTTCGCATGCGGTTCCCCCACCCAGGGCAGCGTTTCGTGGCCCCATAGGGAGCTCCACCGAAGGCCCCAGAGGCGCAGTTCGCATGCGGTTCCCCCACCCAGGGCAGCGTTTCGTAGCCCCATAGGGAGCTCCACCGAAGGCCCGCCCCGGTGGCGCAGTCCGCATGCGGTTCCCCCATCCAAGGCAGCGCTTCGTGGCCCCATATGGAGCCCCACCGAAAGCGGCACCCACAACGCGTTACCAACAATTGCTTATGGTTGGGTCTTTCGCCAGGATATTTTTTTTTTTTTGTTTTTTGATATTTCTGAATGTTCCTCCTGTAGAGGGACACGCCCGACTTAACCCAAACGGGACCTCGCCATCCCTGGGGGGCTGCGAAGGGTGGAAGCGTCGCCACTGTCGAGGGCTGCTGGGGGGCCAGCACTGGGCTATCACTGGGGGGCTGCGCAGCGCGAAACTCTCGCCACGTTCGAGGGCTGCTGGGGGGCCCCGCACAGTGGGGGGGTGCAACTCCAGATCTCCGACTCCGTGCATGTTGTCGCG